CAGAAAGAAAGCAAATGGTGCTATGGTCGGCAATGGCTATCGTCTGCAATCGATGTTTCGTGTTAATGACCAAAGGAGATGGAATTAGCTGAGGCTCTGATAATGGTCAGCCGAAGACAGTGTGTCATTCTGTCTAAGTGTGTTTGTTCCGATAACAAAATGGTAATCAAGATGTCACTTTTTCTTTGCATTACTTTGGTAAGTGGCCGTAATGAGTTTTTGGTGATTAATGGAAAATATTTCTTCGCTAACTTATAACTTATTTGTGATTATTTTTACGTATAAAAGAAATAAAGACGTCAGTGACATATCATTTCCGAGTAATTGGTTGGAGCAACTACAAACAACTTTTTTCTTGGTATCTTTTGTACTTTAAGAATTTTTTGTGTAGCCTGGGTTGAAGAAATTAAAGATTTTCTTTCGCATAATTGTTTCGATTAATAAAATTGATTACTCTACTTAAACCTGTAAAAAGAATATGTTACCAAGTAAAAAGATTTATTATTTGCAAAAGCTGTTTGTTTAACGTCTTTCGAGAATTTTTTCACTAATATTCAGACAACACTACTTGGCGAAGGAGGGCTGCAAATTTAGACTTAAGGATAAATAACACAAACTTTTTTCAGAAATCAACAATATTTGTCAAAGATTCATTTTTAAATTGGTTACATGAAGAATGTTTACCAAGTATAGTGGGAAAATACATTCTAACTACTGCACAACGTTGGCAACAATATTGAAGACTAAAAATTCACTTTAATACAGAGCGTAAGAATAGGAAAGAAACTATAAGATTAAATGTGATTTTAAAAAGTTTTATTCATTAATAAAGTTAAGCTGTTGTGATGTTATCAATTTAATAACAAACAAAAAATCACACTGTTTAATTATTCTTCAATTACTTGATTAAAAAGATCCTTATAATAATTTTCACACCTTTAACTATATTTTTAAAAATTTTACGCAAACCAAAAAATCTTATTTGGTTGTAAGAATACCCTGTTCTGTACGCAAAAGATAGAATACAATAAATTAAAACTATGCTGAAGAATAATTTGTGAATCGCATCTACATGTATATCACATTTTCTCATACAATGTTAATGAGCCTTTAATTACTTTTAAGAAATGGAAAGATAAACACTCAAAGCATAAATACATATTTCTGTTAAAAATTAAAAGTAAATTCTGTTCAATGAACGATAACTCCAACGTCACTGAAAAGTAGATTAGCATTTTTTTTCAGTAAAGCATTATTGTTTTTATAAAAAGTCAATATGGACGGATGACGAAAAAATAATAAATAAACATAAATAATATATAAATATGCTAATTTTATAACAAAATCTATACATTTTTAAAATAAAAAATATATCATGCATATATTCCGTCATTTTTTTCTAAAAATTTCTAATTCACCATTTAAATTAATTTTATTAATTTTTAACTGGTGTTAAATAAACAAAACAAAACAAACCAAACAAAAATAAGTAAAAGAATTAAAAAAAAACTACATGTCAATCATTCATTATGAAGAGGCTTTTACAAATGAGGAATCAAGCAATGTTTTGCTTTAAACACTAAAATGTAATAAAGATGAGAATGAAATATATGGAGATAACGAATAGTATTCAAGCTCAAAAGTCCAATAAACAATACAAAATAAAAGCAGAGCAAATATCCAGGTATACTTTCGATATTTTTCAGTTTACAAAGATAGTCATTTTCCTTAAAACTCATAAAATCATATTCAAACAAAACTTTAAAAAAATAATTAACACAATCAAGTACAACTTAAACAAAAGCGTTTTGATAAAAAAAAATTATGCAAAACAAAATTAAACATTAAAAAATGATTAAAATAAATTCACATTTATATACTTTTTATTAACACAATTTTCATCTAAATACTTTTCTGCTTAACATGCCATCAGGTCCAAGGTTATTCCCAAATGATTCTTTAAAAGAAATTGCTATTAAGTTATTAAACATAAAAATATGTAAAAAAAAATCTTCCTACATTGACAGGAACATAGACTTCATATGTGTTCAAAGAGGGATTACTCTATCATAGAGACGTGAAAAATATCATACATACATGTATATTGCAGGTCAACTAAATATTCAACAGAGCCCCTTAAAATTAACTGCTATGAAGGAGAAACTTCAGACATTTTGTCACCATATGTTAAAAAAAGGTGCAATTAAAATATGGCTTGTAAAACAGTAAAATTACAAAACATCATTAGTATCTTGAGTTTTTATACGTTTTATACGACATTTCCTCATAAACTTATGAGCACACTTTTATTCATATGTCAAATCCATACCGGTATACCGGTATACCCCGGTAAACTAGAAATAAAAGATACAACAGAGGCTGATAATTACGAAAGCCCAGAAGGCTCATTCGAGATTCGAGATTCAAAATACGAGATTCGAAATTCGAGATTCGAAATACGAGTTTCGAGATTCAAGATCCAAACTAACCAATCAAAAGCGGATTCAACATTTGATTACTCCCCTTTATTATGTTTTTACTATCAAGAAATCGTTTAAAATAATTATAACCAATGGGTCATTTGATTAAATTACAATGCAAAAAAGGTTGTTTTATATATATTAGAAGGAAATTTAATAATTATTGGATTTTTGCAGCAAGATATACTTCAATTTATATTATAGCTTCTTAAATATTAAATAGATTACATGTATCAGGAGTATATATATTTTTGTATTATCTTCTACACTTATTTTTTTTTTGTATTTCCGCGCATAGGAAAACCACAGGTACTTGTGGACAGGACCCCTCCCCCCCCCCCCCCCCTCGATATTCAATACCAGGGCTTACTGGACAATTTTTTTTAACAAATTATATTTATTACACTTATTAATGTGTACAATACGAAAACATCACGAGCGTAAAACCCCCAGAATAATCGTTTAACCAAAAAAAAAAAAAAAACACTATACATTACCCCACCCCACTATACAAGAGAGGTGTCATTTAAGGAGAAAATGTGGGATTATTACGAGATGCAGAGTCAATCCGATAGCATGGACTAAGACAGAAATATATGTAGAGATAGTTAATTTTAATTAACATTTTAAGTTAAAATAAATGCATGGTTTTATACCTAGAAATAGCAGCGGGCGTACAACGTAAACAAACTGGAGTGCTTGTGGCATATTTTCTCTCTTATAATTTATAGTGGGGTATTTTTTGTGTTGAGCGATTATTCTGGGTTTTTACGATTTTTTTGGCATTGAACACACGATGAATAAGTGTATTAGATATATGTTGTGAAAAAAAGTCCAATAAGGGTTGGATATCGAGGCGGGGGGGTGCCCTGTCCACAAGTACATTTGGTTTTCTTATGCGGGGAAATACATAAAAATTAAGTTTAGAAGACAATACAAATATATGTATATATACTCATGATATAAGTAATCTTTTTAATATTTAAGAAGCTATAATATAGATTGAAGTATATCATTCTGATCAAAAATCCAAAAATTATTAAAATTTCCTTCTAAAATATATTACACACTTTCTTGCATTGTAATATAATTAAATGACCCATTTGTTATCATTATTTCAAACGATTTCTTCATAGTAAAAACATAATAAAGGGGAGTAATCAAATGTTGAACCCGCTTTTGATTGGCTAGTTTGGATCTTGAATTTCGAATCTCGAATTTCGAATCTCGTACTTTGAAACTCGCTTCTGATTGGTTAGTTTGGATCTTGAAACTCGAAACTCGAATTTCGAATCTCGAATTTCGAATCTCGTACTTTGAAACTCGAATCTCGAATGAGCCTTCTGGGCTTTCGTAGATAATTCTTTTTTTTTCCAATTTGGATATTTTGATTAAAAAAAAGAAGACGTCAATGGTACATACATAAAATTAGGACTTTATGATGAATCTATTTACCAATTTTTCTGTCGTCAACTTTCCTTATTTATATCCTTAATATATTTTATCACCTGTACATGGAGCTTATAATTAAGGAATGAATTTAATAGCTACCCATTTTATACGGTATAACCTGGGTTGGGGCAGTTTACGCTTTATAAACCGCGAAGCGGTTTATAAAAAGCGTAAACTGTTGGTTTAAACCGTATAAAATGTGTAGCTATTAAATTCATTGCTTATAATTTAATTTTCATTCATTTTATGTAAGAAATAAAGATGATTGTTCTAACAAAATGACTTCAGTTTGTACAAAATTTGAATGTAACGTCAGGCGGATTGATACGTTTTGACGCAAGTCAGTGTGACGTAGGCAACCCATTTTATATGATATAAAGTAAAATTTTTATCCAATCAAATACAGCGTTACAATTAGAATTAAATTATTTGTCAATCAATTTGATACACAATGAGCATGCGCTACTTACGATCAATTTCAAAACGAGGTAAGCTTTGAAATAAACGTCAATAAACAAGGATATCAATAGCTGCTTTTGAAATCATCATTTTGAAAGTTCTATTGTCGATACAATGACAGTATCAGAAAATACATTCTACCCTTAAGTCAAATGCTGAAGGACATTTTTCATAGTTATTGTTAAACCCTTTTTTACATTGATTTGTGTACGGATATTTCATTTGCCCGATTATGAGATGGAGCACTCGGCGGGTATGACCGGTCGACAAGCTTACTCTTCTAAAGCATATGATACCATCTTGTCCATGTTTGCTCTCTTCTGATTTGTATGTTTTCAATGATTTTGAGCTTAGTAATATCGTTCTTTATTTCCATATTTAATTATACAAAATTTTGATGGTGTGAATTCATTTAAAATATATTTTACTTTCATTAAAAATACGTGACTGAAAATGTTCTCTAAATTCATAAAATGTCAACAATTGTTATAAAAATACTCGGAAGAGACAACCGGTTTTGTAAAAATTGTTCAGTAAAATTTTACAATGTGTTTTTTTTTTAATTTTAATTTTCCCGAACATGACAAGGAGCACACAGCGTGTGTGACCGGTCAGCAGGGGATGCTCACTCCTTCATGGAACATGGTCCCACCACTGATGTTTTAGAGGTCCGTGTTTGCTTTGTTCCTATTTTTTTATTGTTCTATGGACTATGATATTGAATATTATTCGTTATCTCCATATCCTTCATAAAAAGATAAGATGAATATCTTAAACGAAAATTGTTCAATCTACCATTCATTCTTACTTAAACATTACGCCTGCGAAAAGTAATTGGTTTGAACCCATCATTTAGTTCCACCACTTCTTCGAGATTTTCTCCATCCGTTCGGTTTGCATCGTTCATCTCCAGAATTTCGGCCGTTTCTCGCTTTCCCTTTTTGAAATTTATGACGTATTTTGTATTCTTCTCCTTGTTTTTGTTACGTGTCACCAACTGAAAAAAACCAAAAAGAAGAAATTTATAGTAAAAAAGTGAAGCATTGTTCATTAGCGTTTCATCGCAATCTCATTACCATTATCATCAAAGCTATTTAAAAACATCTTTTAATCCGCTAAATAGTAGTATGTATTTTTCACCCTTTCAAGTGGATTATTAACCAGTGAGCTCAAACCCCCTTCAATAGTGTATGAAGAAAAACTTTACCTGAAAGTGTGTTTTTATTTTCTGTATCCCCGTTTCTTTCAATTCTTTCGGTCTCCATCCAGTAAAACACGTTAGATAATAAAACACTGCCATCAAAATCAATGTGAGTATAATGAGACCGATTGAAATAAATATATATTGCAATATGGAGACACATGTGTAATTTCCAGAGAGTCCTGTGGTCGCTGGGCAAGCATCGTAACAGACATGATCATATGAGAAATGTTTCATGTCGTGACAAGCAGATTCTTCAATACAGGTTGTGCTATTTAATACATAGTTGTCAGGACAAACTGAGTAACATGTAACACGTGGCTTGGAAGATCCGAAATTCTTGTAAGTTATCGGATGACTCGGTGGACATACGTCAGCACACATCGCATTAACTATCACCTTTTCTGGTGGACATTCCTGGACACAATGACTGCCATCTAAGAAAAATGTAGATGAACATCTATTTGTACATCTTTTGCCATAATCAATGTGTTCGAGATATGCATGGCTTGGACATTTATATATAGCTCGGCAAACACTACCAACTATAAACTTATTATCTGGACATTTCTCAACACATGTCCCTTTGTTTTCCATGAGAAGCAAATGATGAGGACATTGGTCATGACAAAATATCCCTTGTTTGGCATTTTGGAGTAATGAATTTGGATTCCTGCAAGATTTCACACATGTTTTTTTCTCAATGTATTGTTTATCACGAGGGCACTTTTTATCACAAACCTTGTTGTCAACAATTACAAAATTGTTTTCACACGTGCTTAAGCACTTTTGGGTAACTATGTCTGTGTATGGATGTGATTGTGGACACTCCAGTCTGCACGTACCAAGATGGTTCCGAAGACCGGATGGACATTGATCGAAGCAGTTCTGTTTGAATTTAAATGTTTGGTACGGACAGGAATACACACAGGAATGTTTCCCCTTGCCTGATGTATAATTAAGTGGTCTATCGTTTGGACAAGACTGGACGCACTTGTTCCCAAGTTCAAGCGTATCCGGAGAACAATGGGAAACACATGTTAAATTTAAATTAAATGTGTTCACAGGGCATGCATCCATACATTTGAAATATGAACCGTCGTGAAGTTTGAAATCACTTGAATCTGGGCATTTGCCATAACATGTACTGTTAAATTCGAAATTCTTATCCTCTGGACACGCAGAAACACAGAGAGACGCATTGTATATGTACGTTTTAGCAGGACAGTCATCATAGCAGGTGTAATAATTTCCCGTTAAAAGAGCATAGTTTCTGTTTTCTGGACATGATGTGGTGCATGTTTTGTTAAATAGATAATTGGCTTCCTTTGGGCATTCCTTGACACAGTTATCAAGGTAATAGAGGCTATTTGACGGACAGTCTGATAAACAGAAATGATGGTATATGTTCTTTGTATCTCCCCAGTTCACAATTATAGTGGTAAAATTAGTGAATTTGTACTTCAGTTCATCTGAACAATTTGCAACGCATGTTTTTTTAATTTGATAACGAGCTTCAGTTGGACAAGAAGGCACACAATCCGACTTGTTATAAACGAATGATTCTGAAGGACACGCCGCAATGCATTTGTAATGACCTCCTTCGAGTTTTCTAAAGACGAATGCATCTGGGCAGGTTTTGAGGCAGGTGCTATTGAAAACATGGTTTTGGTTATGAGGACATTCTTTAACACACTTGTTTCCGAATACGAAATACGCTTTAGGACAGTTTCCTACACAAAAATGTCCAATTTCATACGTAGGACTACCGTAATAGAGTTCAGAAGTCACTTCGCGTTCTCCGATTGAATACTTGAGCTCGTCTTGGCACTGCTCAACACAGGTTCCATTACTTTCGTATTTTGCCTCCGTCGGACAAATATCCATACAAATAGTACGATTAAAAATTAGGTTGTATTCGGGACAATTTTGATAACACTCATAATGAGATAAATAGGAGTTTAATTTTTTATATTTTGCTTCGATTGGACATTGCTTGAAACAAGTTTTATTATGCATAAAATTTTCTTCTGCTGGACAGGAGTTGAGACAATTCGTCTCATTAGAAATGAACTTGTCCTTGGGGCACGATTCCACACATTGATAGTTATTGCTGTAATTAACATTAAGCCTGTGAGACATTGGACATAACGAAAGACAAGAGCCATTAAAAGCAAAATGTGAAATTTGAGGACACGTTTTCAAACACTTCTTTTCGAATTCCAAGTTGTATTTGATGATAGAATTAGTTTCCAAATTACAGGAATTAACACACATAAAATCTGCCTTGCCAAAGTTTCTTATAGAATTTAGAAATAGTCCTTCTATATTTGGATACATCAAGGGATGCGACACAGGGCAGTTTTCCTTACAAGTATTGTTAAATAGATGTTTTCCTTTTGGACAAGCACTGACGCAATATTCTCCGTCCACCACATCATTTTCTGAACAAGAGTTGGAGCATTGAGAGATCGAATTATACTCTGTGGTCAAGGTTTGTATGAATGGATTAGACGGAGGGCATGTCTCATAACAGGTTCTATTGTATAAAAATGGTGCTTTACTCGGACAACTCAGATGACAAACTTTATTAACTCCATCTTCCAATGTATATAGAGGGCACTGTTGCAAGCAATGTTTGAACCTTGGTGCTTGAAACAAAAACGGATGGGAAACTGGACAGGATTTGAAACATGTTTTGTTTCCGGTCAGGCAAGGTCCTTCACAGTCTGTTGAAACCACGAAAGACTGATTGCTGGGACATTTCAAAATGCATTCGTTATTTAACTGAACTGTATACTCTGGACACGTCTTTAAACAGTTCATTCTGTAACACATGGGAAAGTTTTCCGGACAAGACGCGCGTTGGCATTCAAAATCATGCTCTACGTTACAAAATGTTCCAAGCTCTGTTCGAATTTCTTTTGCGTTGGTAGGACATTTGTTGTAGCATGTTTGTCTAAACATGGACATTTTCTGCGGACAGGATTCAAAACATCCAATTTTGTTTTCCACTCTTACCTCTGACGGTAGGCAAAATTCAGTAGATATCTGAAAGAAATTATACTATTATTTATCTGAAAAACTTGTATGGTATGTTTCTGGTTGAAAATATAAGTGTGCTCGATCAAATGTTGCTTAGAAAAAAAATTGGGCATCAATTTCGAAGGCCTTGAAATATTTATTACAGATTCCATTAACTATGGGCAAAACCAACTTTTATCCAGGTTTATTTTATTTAAATGTTTTTAACTTAACGAGGCCAACTAATCGAGGATCCATAGCAATAGATTGTCTGTGTGACTCAGGTGACCTAAATATATAAGTAGTATTCACATTTAAAAATAACTTCACGGTACTTTACTCTTGCACACAGCACAACACTGCATAAAACTAATTTAGAGGACATCAACATGCTCATCAAATATCAATAATTAATGCAAAAGCAGATCCACAATATACCAGCTCAATTTATAGCTATGAATTCAATCTTACCTTTACCAAGTAGAAAAACGATAGAAAGTATAGAAGCAAAGCATCCATTTTACACACCAGCATGTCTAAAAATATATTCACGGTTTCTACCTTGTTACGTAAATAGAATTATAGGAATTCCTGTTTCCTCAATGTGTTCTATTTATATTTTTTTCGTTCATTTTCAGAAAATGACTGTGTATATATGACATTCGCAACTGTTACACTGTAACGTAAGGACGCAGTTAAATTAAAATCGATAACAAAAGACGGTAGATTGATTTTAAAAAGGTATATGTGATATATAGTTCTTCGTGTTCTTATTAATATAAGTGAAAAACATTTCAAGATGTCGGATGAATCTGTGACGGAAAATGACAGTCTCTTAATGAGTGAATACAAAAGAAAACATTGTGAAGGAATAACAAGCTGTAACGAGACATGTGAATCTGATCCTATCAGCCTTCAAAAACATCTCGATTGCGAGACCTGTGTTAAAATTCCTTTGGAATGCACCTCAGACATTCAAGAAGAGATTGATGTTTTTCCTAGTGACAGTACTGACATTCAAATTAGTACTGTCCGAGGGCTTCCCCCGGGGAAAAAGTATCATATTTTCATTTCATGTTCTTCGGAAGATATTGAAGAAGTAAACAAGATATGCAAGGACTTGGAGAAAAGATTTTTCTTCAGATGCATGCAGTTTGAGAGAGATTTTGTGGCGGGAAAACGTTTGGATGACAATATTCATTCCGAAATGACAAAAAGTGTTAAAGTATTGATGGCGCTGAGCCCTGCGTATATTGAAAGTCACTGGTGCATGAGAGAGGCGGATGTGGCTGTTCAATTAACTTACTCTAACAGAGAAAATCTGAAGATAATACCGGTTTTGTTGCGACCGATTGATGATATGCCACCCTTTCTGAAGAGATACAGGTATATAGAAGCACAAAAGGAAGAGGACGTGCCAGCAAAGATAATGGATGCATACTATCATTCAGGTTTAAATTGAAGTAGACTAAAGCTTTTTGATAATTTTTTGAAATAAAATTCTTTTAATTTAAAAGTAAACTTGAAAGTGGTTTTATATGATGTAATTTAAATAAATTATTTCAGAGGCTGTAGATGGAATCTTAATTCAAGGTGAACAAGGTATGTTAAAAGCACATGTACCCAAAGTATATATCACATCAATATCTTTGAATTTGAAGGGGATGGTAAACAGTTTCTTTCAATACTAAATGACCAACCTCATCAATTACAGCTGTAAAAAATTGAATTCTACAGGAAAATATTTTTAAAAACATAACCATATGTGATTGCAATTCGAAGCATTACGGTAGATATTGTATGTAAAGCTAGAAGTGATATCCATTGTAAGAAGATTCCTGTACAAGATCACTTAAGTTTAAAATACAGTTACTGTAGTACAACAGCATGAGCTTATACAAGAAATAAGGTATTTTAAATTATTTTATCGGGATGTAAATAGGGACTATTCATGTGATCAAATCCCATAAAAGCCGAAGGGCTTTATGGGGTAGATTTGTTCGCATGCAAACTTGAATTCACTTAAGAAATAACTGTCTAATCTTTTAGTTTCATGATGTGATCAACACCAAAGGCATTTATTCGTAAAATTATCACGCAAGCTAATCGATTGATCATCATCATGAATTATAAAAAGCTGACATTTATTCCTTATGTTTACATGCTCTTGATTCCACTAATCTACGTGCTACAAGTCCCGCTTCTGTTTCTATTTGTCCTGAGAGAGAATGACAGTAAAATCTATCTTTCCAATAAAGCAGAAGAGGAAGCCTCGCTATATAAAGGGAGAGAGAGAGAGAAAGAGAGAGAGAGTGGTGTTGGGGGAGAGATCGTACAGAAGAATAAACTTTAAAAAAAATAATTCATACATATATACCAATTCATGCATCAGGGTTTTTTTCTGTTTGGGTATGCATCATCTTTCCATTCAGAAAAAAAGTTTGTGGGGCATATTTAAAACTTTTGTTTTAAAGCAACTTTGGAAAAAATAATTATCTTTTATCTATGGAATGGCATTGCTTCCATGTTAAAGTTGACTTTTCCAACTTTAATCTTGGTTTTTATTTTTTAAACTTTAATCTTGGCTTTTCCAGCTTTGTACTGCCTTATGCATTCTATTCAGTCTGAGATACTTTGCCAAGATTAAAGTTGGAATTTTCAACTTTAAAATTGGAATTACTAACTTTTAAATTGGAAATACCAACTGTAAGGTTGGAAAAACTAATATTTAAGTTGGAATTTCCAACTTTAAAGTTGGAAAAGCCAAGATTAAAGTTGGAAGTACCCACTTCAAAGTTGGAAAAGCTAATATTAAAGTTGAAATTACAAACATTAAAGTTGGGATTTCCAAATTTTAAGTTGGAAAAGCAAAGATTAAAACTGGAATTACATCTTTAAAGTTTGAATGACCAACTTTCAAAAATATGTTGTGGCACTTATAAACTTTCTTATTTATTGATATTTGATGTTATTTTATTTTGCGTTAACTTTGGTAGTTTTAAGGTTCAAATAATTAAAATCTGTATTTCTTTTATTTATGGGAATTTTTTATAAATTCGGTATGCAAATAAGAACCTTTTTTTGGCATTAACAAGGATTAACAGCGGAAGAAATCCAGAATCAGAACGGGGCACGTCTGATGTCAAAGACATTTATACAGCAATATCCATACAGTGAAAAGGGCTATGTATTTGAAACTGAAAGTCTGACTTATAATGAGCGAGAATATTTGAAAAACATTCATAAAAAGGTAAGAAGACAGTACCTTCAGTCACTCAGTATTTTTTATGTACAGGTATACAAGTGTTACATATCTTATTATTTCTGTATCTGATTTGTCTAGGCGTTAGTGAGTTAGGTTATTCCCTACTGTAAAAGAATTAGCCATCGTCATTCAAGTTGATGATACACATATCTTTTTTATATCTCATTGAAGTGTATTGGTTTACAGTGTGAAGAACAATTCGAAGCAGCTGAATGTTTGGTTTCAAGTCAGCGTCTTCTGAAATTCTACAAGATCTTTGTTTTAACTAAATTTACTCACGCTACAGCCGTATTGTTAGCTGCTATTGTGGTGTCCTCTACAATGACGCTAGAATACGTAACTGTACTAGTCAGTAGAGATATCAGAAACACGTCAAGCGCGTCATTCCCCTTAGGAGTTTTGCTTGGATTCGTGTTATACATCATATTTGTCGTAGCAATATTCGTCTTACGTAAAAAGGTAATCTGTAATTTTCAACACGCGTATTCTTTTAAAAAGTTTACTGATTAAAAGTTTAATGATTTCAAATTGATATGGATACTTTATTCTTTTACAATTGCAGCTGAAAAACAATATAAGAAAGAAACTCTGGAAATTTGTGAACAAAAAGTATTTCCGGGAGACAAAATGCTTGATTGTGTATGACGATGTCATTGTTCGACAGCCTTGTGTATCCTCTGAATGCATTAAAAAATTAATTATGTGTCTGTACAAACATAAAAAAAAATGTGTCATGATTCTAAATCCACATGCAAAAAGTAAAATAGATTGCAACTTTTTATCTCTGCAATAAATATAGCTGCTTTTTTGCGTCATTCCAATCTCATTTTTAGATACGTTTATAAGAGTACTCTTTAAAAAAGTCGAAAATGAAAAAGAGTGTACAAATCGAATATATGTACTATTTTAAAACTAGATGCTGTCATGAGACAGTAATACCCGCACTAAGGTGTTTGCCTCTAAATACACGCTCCTACATATTGGGCGGCTTTCAAAGGAAATAGTCAAAATAATTCTATAATTTACATGTATTAATCAAATTGATTATGAAATTCTCAGACCCTCTGACCTATAACTCAGAACCTCTTATATTTATTTTATACATGCTTAATTCATTATATACAAGTCTGAA